CTGCTCTTGATTTATGATTTATTTTTAGAAAAACTGAAAAAGATGTGAAAAATTACTGGCTTAATATATTATTTTCCCCCTGAACTTTAAGTTTTGTTGCAATTTCACTTTGACTTGACATTTTATGCCAATTTCATCCTGAACTTCAACATTTGATTGCAATTTCACTTCAATTTAATTTTTATACCAATTTCACCTTGAACTTTGATATTTTGTTGTAATAGCACCCTAAATTATAATTAGAACTTAAATTGTAAATAAAAAATAAATTGACTCTCGACCTTGGATTTGGATTAACTTAATACAATTGTGTGAATGAAAGAGTTTGGATTAATAGTAAGGATAATCTCTATTAATATTTTTAATAGTTTTAAATTCTTTCGTTTATTGATAAGAAGTAATATTTAAAAATTAATTATTTGATACATGAACTTTTTTTTAAAAAAAAAAATTAGAATATACTTATTATTATGGTTTGATTTTAAAATAAATTTTGAAATAATTAGAAAATCTAAAACAAAGCTACTATCAATTTATTTTTAAAAATAAATTTTAAATAATTTAGAAAAAAAATCCTAAACACTCACAAAAGCTTACTATCCAATTTATTTTGATTGATAACACTTATTAGAAACTCTGTATTAATTATTTGATACATGAACTTTTTTTTAAAAAAAAAAATTAGAATATACTTATTATTATGGTTTGATTTTAAAATAAATTTTGAAATAATTAGAAAATCTAAAACAAAGCTACTATCAATTTATTTGATTGATAAACTATTAGAAATTGTAATAATTTTTTATCAAAATAGAATAAAATATAATTATATTCTAATTTTTAAAAAAAGCATTCATCTGCAGGGTGGTTTGATTCGGATATGAATTGAGCTATAGCTAGTTATGCTTACATAAAAATGCTATATTTATTAAGTGATGTGCCTATTTTCGCTTTCAATGTCATAAAATTAAATTTTTATATTAGTGTTTATTTTTTTCATCTCAATTTAATAATATTTAATATTTTTATATTACGCCAAAATAATTTTTGAATTGATTTGGTTTTCAATAACTTTTTAAATGTTTTTTAAAAAAATAATCAAATTATCTTATTATTACTATTTTTTTTTTGTGTATCAAAATTTAGTTCTTGAGAGTAGAGGCAAAGGCAACTTATTTTATCAAAGAAGCTACATTACTATGAATTAATTGTTGGATCATATACCCTCAAGGAATCACTCCTTGGAACCTTGTTTGGAGTTGGGAGGGGCCTCAAAGAATCAAGTTATTTTTATGGCTTGTATTTCATGATAGGCTTCTTACAAATTCTGAGAGGGTGTGAAGACATATGGGATCCTCTGAGATTTGTGATCTTTGTATAGGTGTCGAGGAGACTTCACTTCATGTGTTGCGGGATTGCTCTTTTGTTAGCCATTTTTGGAGATTGTTGGGAGTTTCTCATATTGGTAATTTCTTTGACGTTAGTTTCTCGATCCAAGACTGGCTTCTGTTAAATCTTAAGCTGAATTTTATTCATTCTTCCGGTTTGTCTTGGCCTTTGTTATTTGGTGTTGCAGTTCATAAGTTGTGGGCTAGGCGAAATTCTTTGTTATTTACACAGACTACTGTGAGTGTGGATCAGCTCCTTGCGTCTGTCATCTATTTTTCTAATGAGGTGGTGCAAGCTCAGCTGACTAATTTAGCTCGTGTCGCTAAGCCATCCTCAAAAAGTTGGAAGTGGATTTCTTGGGTCCCTCCCCCTGTTGGTGTTTATAAATTAAATATAGATGGGTCTTTGAAGAATGGGTATGCTTCTTGTGGTGGTTTGCTATGGGATGCTGGTGTCTCTTGGGTTTGTGGTTTTGTTCACAGTCTAGGAAGTGCGTCTGTTATTGTGGCAGAGCTTTGGGCCATCTTGGATGGTCACCGTGTGGCTAAAGAGATGGAGATTAGAGAAGTTTTGGTTGAGTGTGACAGTAAGGTTGCTGTCCGGATGGTGCGTTTGTTGGACAATCTACGGTGCAGAATGTTAATAATTCTGCACCCATAGTAAATAATTAATCACCGTTAAATTTTACCGTTTAAAACTTAGCAATGAAAGAAAAACCAATCACTTACATAATAGGTAAATAAATTCTATAATAGATGGTGGTGATCTGGAGTGGCCGATGGTGGTCGACGGTGGCCAGTGGTGGTCGATGGTAAGTGGTGATAGTGACTACCGATGATTAATAAATTAATAAAATATGAATGTGTAAAGTTATAATAAGTTTATTAAAGTCCAGAAAATGTTTTACACTCTCAAAGATGTAAAGTCATTTTAATTAAAAATGATTTAATTTTCCTTTGATTAGTAAAATATTTTTCGTTGACTTATTTTCCTGAACCATCCAAATAATGAAAAATTGTAAAAATATTTCCTACGAGTTATTTTATCAAAACAAATGGAGCCTTAGTTTAAAAACAAAAATGACTGTTTAATTACTATTAAATATTTAATTATTTAATCCAAAATCATTTCATCATTTTGATTTTTTGAAGGCCTTCTTTTATTTGTATAGAAAAAATTCAATTCATATATATTATGCTATATAAAATTTTATAAATGTATATCATGAAACATTCTTGTATATTCTCCTAACAAATATATTATTATTAATCTGTTTATTTTTGTTATTTCAAATACTTATATTAATACTTCACTACTTTTGTTAAAGCAATTGTATCACTTTAATAATTTAGCATTTTAATTTACACATCCTATACTTTATTTCATTTTAATTATTTTTTAAGATTCTCCTTTATTTAATTTATAATATTATAAAAACTACTGGATGTGGTTAAAACTATTAAAATAAATAAAATGTAATTTATAAAAATTATTTCTATCAATTTAACACAAATATTTATCCAAATGAAATTGAAAAAAATATATAATTAAAAAAAATTATATTTATTATTTTAATAGTATTTTTTTTTCTACTAAAAGAAGGAAAAAAAAATTTGTAAAGAATAAAAAAATTTACATAACTAGTCATATCTACATGCTATAGTAGGTTAGAATGTCAAATGGCACAAAAAGATACTCACTCGAGCCACAATGTTAGTCGTGTTGACTTTTGCACAAAGTAATGTAACATCATATGAAATATCCATATATTTTCAAAATTGTCCTCCCTTAAAACGAAAAAAAAAAAAAAAAAAAATTTTGGCCATAAAGTATGTAACATTCATTTATGAAATATCCCCATATATTTCAAAAATTTGTCCTCCCCTTAAACGAAAAAAAAAAAAAAAAAAAAAAAAAAAAAAAAAAAAAAAAAGTTATTCCAAGAATTTAAAACATTTATAATGAAGGGAATAAAAAAAAAAAAGCAAATATCTTTTAAGTCAAGTGAACAAATATTTTAAGACATTCAAAAATAAAAATATTGATAAATGTTTTCTTCTCAAAAAACATGACTAAATTATTCTTTTCAAAATGAACTTTAACTAACTAATTTTCTAAGTAAAATCCCCAAAATTATATGCATAAAATGTGATAGTCCCATATGTGATTGATTTGAGATGTTTATTATAGGATTTAGGGTAGTTTAGTCATTCTATTAAAAATTAACAAAAAAATGTGTGTTTTTTGAATGGAATGATCAAATAATATAACGAAAGTGAACTTCAGGGATGTTATAAATATTTATATAAATGTCAGGGACTACTTAAATAATTATAGCAAACCTCAGGGACGAAATAATGAAAACTTATAAATGATAATACGAAATAATTTGAAAACTTTATAAATGATTAATTTTCGGACTTTTCCTTTCCAAAAATTAACGGGGAAAAAGTGTAGCTTTTTGGATTGAAATGGACCAATTAAATAAAGGGATGTTATAAATATTTATATAAATGTCAGGGACTACTTAAATAATTATAGCAAACCTCAGGGACGAAATAATGAAAACTTATAAATGATAATTTCGACTTTTCCTTCCAAAATTAACGGGAAAAGTGTGTTTTTTGGATGAAATGACCAATTAATAAAACGGAAGTAAACTTCAAGGATGTTATGAATATTTGTATAAATGTCGGGGACTACTTAAATAATTATAGCAAACCTTAAGGATAAAATAATTATTTTTTCTAAAAAAAAAAGTAAATATTTTTGAAGTCAAGTGAATAAATATTTTAAGACATCCAAAAATAAAAAATTGGCAAATATTTTGGAAAAAAGGGAGTAGTTTCTCTGTTAATACATAATTTTTTTTGAATCTATTTATCAATTGGTTTCTCTGATTAGACAATTGCTTTACACTGATTGGAATTGCTCTGTTTGTCATATTTTTAGGGAATCCAATCGTTGTACTGATTTTTTGGCCTCTATTGCATAGTTTTATGATATGGGGCTGCATGTGCAACTTTGCATCAGTGGCTTTACTATGATTTTTGTGTGACTGCCCATAATAGATTTTGTACTTAGTTTCTTTTGAGGTCTTTCTCTCCCATAGTAATAAAAAAAATATTTATCATTATTAATTTAAAATAATTTGACATAACTATGAATTAATGATTATAATGTATTGAATTATAATTCAATTTACAATATTAAAATAACTGTTACCTAATACTTTTAAAATTTTGAAAATATTTATTAGCTAAATATATTTGGGTAATGTATTTACTTTATAGATAGTATTTAATAAATATTTAATATTTATAAGTAATGAGAAATATGTATAAAAATAATTGAGATTTTCTTTTTATTTTTATAACATATAATTATATTAAAACGTTAATCCCGTTATAAACTTATCATCATCGTGAAAAACAAGCCAACAAATACAAGGATTTGTTTTCCTGTTATTATTTCCAAATCCTAATAGGAAATTAAAATTGAGCGAAAGATTCTCTAATCTCCCTGTATATTAATCTCTTCACAGAAAAAGATTGCTTTCCCATCCATTGACGAGCAACATCCACATACCTTAATAGTAAGCAGCTCTGCCCATGGCCACAAAGCAAGCTAGTCCGACAACGAACAAGAGCAAAGAAGAGACTATTCTCCCAAATTACGTGCAAAAGAAGCAGAAATTATTATCTCTTAAAAACCAAGAATGTATTCCAGATGATCTGATAGAGAGTATACTGTTAAGACTGCCCATCAAGTCTCTAATCCGATTTAAGTGCGTGTCAAAACAATGGCAGTCTCTTTTAACTAGCCACCGTTTCGTTAGAGCATTCAACAAGGACCAAAACCAAACTTGTCTCCTTGTTCCAATGAATTTGCTAACTGATCCTGATTCTACGTCAATCATCAACTTGATAGATTTAAAAACTATAGCAGATGAACCAGAACGTGAAAACAACAACTGGGCAGAGGTAATCCGGTTTCCTTACCAGTGTCAGTCTAAATTCACATCCTGTTGTGATGGTATTCTGTGCTTCTATAATTATAAGGTTGGTATTTTAGGGTTATGGAACCCATACATTAATGACTACCAAGAAATAGTGCTCCCTGAGAATTTACACAGCGCAAATAGTTCTTATGCAAGTTTCTATCTTGTTTATGATTCATCCATTAATAATTATAAGATTGTAGGAAAAGTTGCTTTAGATTTCTATGTATTGACTCTGAAATCTAATCGATGGAGAAAAGTTTCTATTACTATTCCCATTACAAGTTTGGTGGGAACAGAATGCATATCAGATAATAATGGGAGTTTGTATCTGTTTGGTTCAAAAGCTCAAATTGCACTTCGGTTCGATATAGTCGAGGAGAAATTTACAGAGGTACCAATGCCACCTGAGGTAATAAGAGATGGAGATGGTATAAGTCATATTTTTGTTAAACGAGAAGGAAGGTTTGGGATTTTAGGAAATTGCCTCTGTTTAACCTGTGTGAACGTGGCGGAAAATTGTTCAGATACTTGGATGTGGAAAGGAAAAACTTGGAGCAAGTATTTGAGCATTCCCTGTAGTGATTACATGGAATTTATTGGTCTGGAGCCTTTATGCTTGACTGAGGACGGGGCAGTTGTTATGCATAGAATGGAACTATTACGCCATTTTTTCATTGTCGTGCAGAGCGTTGGAAAGAGCCAAGGTGAATGTGTCGGATTAATCAAGGACCGCAGAGGCGCTACTTGTAAGAAATTTTATGTTCCTGGGAATTGCTTACCCACAGATTATTCTTTTACATACACTAAGACTCTTGTTTCACCGTCGAGCCTCATGTAAAGCCTAAATACTCATCTAAATGAATGTTTTTTTGCTTTCAAAGGGTATAGTAGTTGGAATAAGTAATTAGTAAAATGCAAAGGGGATTGATCGTGCAATAAGCCGAGGTTGAAAAGGATAAAGTTAGACATAATTGTTGATAAATATGTAAGAGATTGTTATAAACCTAATGTTAGTGTTGAGAAAGGACAAGAATGAGTCAATTTGTGAATGAATACAACAACATGTCTTGTAGGATTTTCTGGTACATGACATTATAGTAATTTTGGATAAAGTACTCGTTTGTTAATAAAAATAAATGTCCTTGTAAAAAAAAAAAGACAAGATTATTAATTTTATAAATTCTAGGGACCAAAAAATCATTTACCCTAAAATTAAAACTAGATATTTTTGCGGGCTGGATATAGTCCGAGAGATTTTCTTTTCCCCGAAAACTACATTTTCTTATCAAATAAATAAATAAAACGGAGAACAAATGCAACGTTATCCTGTTACTGAATCACAACGCACCCGCTGACTGAAAGAGAAAGCTTGCGCAACTTCTTTTCTAAAAATCTCCTAACATCGAATTTCTGCTCGTAATTTTTCGCTTTCCAGTTTCTTAATGGCAAATTCTACTTCTTTTGCATTGATAAACACTCTCAACTCTATCTCTTCTTCTTCTTCTTCTTCTTTGGTCCCTTTCAAAATTCATCACCACCGCTTGATTAGTGCTCAAAACAACTCAAATAGAGGGTTGGCGATTCATTGCTGCTATCCAACGGGTCCTACCTCAGACCCTATGAGTGTCAGGTAGCAATTCATGGGTTTTGTGTTTCTATGGATAATTGGATTGTGGGATGTTCCTGTGTCTTGTAGGTGTTTGTAAAAATGTCTATATAGATTATTGGCGTTCAGTTATGGTTTTTTGGGCGTGATGCATAGCGGGTATTCTTTCAGGCTGCTGCTTATTCTGTTCAATTCGTCAATATTGCAGACTCTTGTTTTACTTTGGTTACTCGTGGAAATGATGAAAATGAAAATAATTAAACTTTATGAATTATGAACAAGTTCATGGTTAGTAATGTGAAAGGAAGAAAGATGGTCGTAGTCAAAAACTCTGTTAAGTAGGAGTTAGAGAGGAGAATGGTTTCATTCATGCGGAACATAAGCGGCTCCTTTTGCTAGGACTTTTTAACAGCGTTGATAAATTATATTGATTTTTGAATTTATTTTTCTGACATAATACATTGTGTCATTATGGATATCATACTGATTTTTTAATAGGAGAATGATTAGCATTGTCACGAACAAGGGTTATAACAATAAGTGTGCCACTTTATTTTGCTAGTAGAAAATTTTGGAGATATTTATCCTATCTTGGGTAATCCTAGTTGGACTGTCGTGATAGGAAAAGATACTTACCGTATTATGTGTATGACATATTTGGGACATGTTGAAAAGATTTGCCTATACCTAGGACTTGTGGCTAGTGGTTTGGAACATGTATTTTCTCCTTGTGATACCGTGCTTGCTAAATAATGTTCTGATTCAGTTTTATCTTACTTTGTTAAGGCAAAGAATGTTTGCTGTATGCAAGCCATTTTTCACCAACTTGTTTCTTTAAGAACGAGTGTTGATATCATTTATGGGGGACTAGATTGCATCCTCGACCTTAGCCTTACTTGCAGGAGGTGAAGGGATGGGGGGGTTAGATTAAATATGTGGGTTTTTTGCAACTCCATGCATGATGTCAAGTAGAGAAAAGAGAAATGAACATAAAAATTCATCTGCATTCTAGTTTGCATGAAACCCAGAGCCTCTCTACGAAAAAAGTTAGGGGGAATGCTGCATACACCAGCTCTTCCTAGAGCCTACAGATATGGCATGCTTTGCGCACTAGGTTGCCCTTTTTTTATTCTAGTTGGCATGAGTTCTGTTTTCAGTGAGGGTGGGGTCCAAAATCTCCCTATTATCCATCTGCTTTTTTGTTGAATTGTCCAATCTTAAATGGATTATACCTTAGGTACTATGTAATTCTTGTTGGAGCTAATTTATCTGTATGGAATTCCTAAAGATGCCCTAGTTATACATGATCAGTTTTGTGATCCTTTTGTTGATCTTTGTATATACAGTTAGCTGCTTAACGTTTTGCTAAGAACGGTATGTTGTTGATAGTATATCTTGTTCCTGAGCTATGGGATTTTGTTCTTCAATTTACATGGTAATTTTTGTTGTGAATATTGTAATGTGTCTACGTTAGTATGAACATGTAATGAATACTTGTTAGTTTAATTTCCAGTTGAATGTTTCCCCTTTATTAAATTTTTTGTTTATCCTTCATGAAAGTAGAAGTTCTTTTTCATATTTTATCAAGTTATTGGATTATGGGAGCATTGCAATGAATTTCTTTCACTTGTTCATTGCACTGATCATGATTTTGCTATCAACATTTTGGAATTTTTTCTTTCTTCATAATTCCTATTTCTCTTAAAATTTACATTGCTTTTTCTGGGATTGGGTCTTTCTTCACTTTTATTTTTATTTTTATTTTTTTTAGTGTTCATTGTTTATAATTCTGTTAGCAGGCAGCCCCAAATGCCGTCTATGGCTAACTATGGAGTGAATGAAAATGGCTCTTCCAGACAATCTTATAAATGGCAAAGAGTGTTGCTTAAAGTAAGTGGAGAAGCACTTGCAGGAGATCACAAGCAAAATATTGACCCCAAGGTTGGGACATGAATAATTATGTTTCTAAAGCTTTGTGTCTAACGGTTTCCTGATGTATAAATTTTTTGTGGAAATATAGATTACAATGGCCATTGCAAGGGAAGTTGCATCTGTTACACGCTTGGGCATTGAGGTTAACCTTCAACACCTGCCTCTGGCTGCATTTGCTTGACATATATTTTATCTCTTGGTTTACTTTTTCTATGCAACTTTTTCAGTGAATGTTTGTCCTCAATTTCTTTTTGTGTTTTCTTATTGGTTTTCATGATTGTATGAACATTCATGTAGTAATTAACTGTAAAATTGTATTTCTTATTTCAATTTTTAATTCTTTTTGTTATGAATCATAAGCCAAATGGTCATTTTATTGAAAATCCTCATGTGGTGTCAGGTGTCACGATCAAAATATGTTAGTGTTATTCCAGAATTCTACATCTGTTGTAATATTAATGTAGGACAGCAAAGAACAATTTGGAGTTTTAGGAAATAGGGCTAGGATCTGTAGAAATCATCAAATTAAGAATTAGAGCTTAAAGGGTAACATGGGAGCTTCACACTAGTAGGATAGGGCTCACTCTTATTAAGAAAGCCTCACATCTCTAGTGTTAAATTGCATTGCACAACTCAAGAACAGAAAACATAATTTGCTTTGTGGCTTCCAGCAGTATGGTATACAAATTCTCTTTGAAAAACATTTCAGGTCGCAATTGTGGTTGGTGGGGGGAATATTTTCCGTGGATCCTCTTGGGCAGGAAGTAGTGGCCTTGATCGTTCATCTGCCGACTACATTGGGTAATTTCTTGGATTCTTTGGTAATTATCTTATATATATATATATATAAGTAAACAAAAATTTCCTTGGTATATTATTGTTTAATTTGGAATGTTGATTGAAATATGGATGTCCCATGAAACTACAATGATCTTTATCGACTTCAGTAACATTAAAAAATAATAATAATAAAAAAAAAAAAAAAAAAAAAAAAAAAAAAAAACAACCATGAAACTAACGATCTAATATATATCGAGCTTCATAAACATAATTATGGTAAATATATATAAAATTACATAATAGAATTTGTAAATAAAAAAACAAATAAAAAAAAAAAAAAAAAAAAAAAAAAAAAAAAAAAAAAACAAAAATAAAAGCTAACAACATGTGACTATCATAGAGTCTCTCTATTATTCTGTTATCTCCTTTTGTTTGTTGAACTTTCAGTCGGTAGTATAAATATAGGTTTCAGAATTGGGAATCAGGTATTGGAATCATATCGAAATAGACTGAAACATCTCGCATTACCTAGCAGATATTTTCATCAACTCATAATCTTCCAAGTACAGAAAATTAAGGGATGTGGTTAAAAAAAGTAAATTAATTTATTTTCAACTGTTTGCTGTTTCATGGCAATATGAGCATACATATTGAACGATTCTATTAATTCAAGTTCCACAGCTAGATCTTAATCCCCTCCTATGAAATGCTTAATATTGTTTTAATTCATGCCAAAACCATATGTATCAGCCGATATCAGACCATGATTGGAACACTGTTAATCTTGTACTCATTAGATCTGCAATTGGAACCTTCTGCTGCATTGCTGGATCCCTTTGGAAAACAAGGACATAAAGCATGCTCAATCATCATGCGGAGGTTAGGTAGGCATTCATGAAATTCTCGTAAAATTCCCCACCATTTGGAGCTTCGTGGGTACCAACTTGAATAGAAATATAATTGAAAGCAATTGGTGCTTATTGTTCTAGCCCTACTTTAAGTAGTAAAGGCTTTAAGTGGTAAAGGAGTGAAGTGTCTGGGATTTCAGTAGAAGTTGTGGATACAGTGTACTTGTGCTTGGACAAGTAGTAGGACAGGTCATAGTTTCAAATTTTACAATACGAAAATTATTAGTTGAAGATTTAAATATTATTGGAAGATTGCTTTTTGGGTCCTAGTGCAATATACAATAATATTCTGGCTTATGCACATCCAATTAGAGCTCATGCATTCTGCAAGACAACCGAAACCCCCCCCCCCCCTTTCTCTCTTTCCCCCACCGAAAAAAAGAAAATAGAAAAATCTAGTCCTCTCTTTCCTAATTTCAGTCATAGCAAAAAGGATGTTATACACACAATTGTATATATATATTAAAAAAAAAAAAAAAAAAAAAAAAAAAAAAATTGTTACTTATGTTTATATGTTGTTTGGTGTTCTTATTATTGCCGCTTTGGGTTTGATAGGATGCTGGCAACAGTTATGAATGCTATATTTCTTCAAGCTACAATGGAGAGTATTGGCATTCCAACTAGGGTTCAGACTGCATTTCGCATGTCAGAGGTTGCAGAACCATATATACGCAGACGAGCTGTCAGGCATTTGGAGAAAGGAAGAGTTGTGATTTTTGCTGCTGGAACCGGAAATCCATTCTTCACCACAGATACAGCTGCAGCCCTGCGTTGTGCCGAAAGTAATATTTTCTCTATTAATATTCTATATATGCACATTGACAATTTTAGATATCTACATTACTTGTATGTGCCTCAATTGTGTGCACTAAGTAATTCTGATTCATTTGGAACTTCATCCCACAATAATTATCTGCGATGACTTATTGGCATCCAATTGTTCATCCAGTCAATGCAGAGGTTGTGTTGAAAGCGACAAATGTTGATGGGGTCTATGATGATGATCCTAGGCGTAATCCAAATGCTCGTCTTCTTGAAACTCTAACTTACCAAGAGGTCACTTCAAAAGATCTTTCAGTGATGGACATGACAGCCGTTACTTTGTGCCAAGAGAATAATATTCCTGGTATGTTTGGCATCATCTTCATCAACTCATTGGTAGGACCACTATTTTCCCAATTTTTTTCTTTTTCGTTCACAAGGGTGAGGCCTGAGCCAATGATAAGATTGCTTTGTGAGCTCAAACGACCTTCCCTTGACCTCAAAAAGTGGATCCTTGTGCGCTGAGTTCCCCACCCCCCAAAGTTCCCCTCGACAGGGTCCAGTGACTCTTCTAGCAGGTACATGAATCCCCCATCCCATATGCACCATGGAAATTACTCAGACCAATCCTTGCAATGGTCACTGAATGGACTATATCTGGTTACCAATACAAACCTGCACTTCAGAGATTCCTGAATCAAGGACTCAAACCCTTATTGGGGTGTCTTAAGGGGAGCCAGCTTACTTCTACTTAGAAGTTCGGAAGGTCAAAAATCATTACCAGCATAAACGGCCTCAACCTTTACCTATTTTTCGCTTTCCCTTTTATGGTACATTGTACATGCTGAAGGGGTCAATATGAGAGAGGCACTTGATCATTGAGCTACCAGCTCTATGGAAAATGACCCTTGAACTTTGTCTAACGTAAATTGATTGCTTTTTTCTTTTTATTGTTATATTTATTGATGGCAACAAATATTTGTTTTTTCCTTATTGTAGTTGTGGTGTTCAATCTATCGAAGCCTGGTAACATCTCCAAAGCAATAAAGGGAGAAAGGGTTGGGACACTGATAGGAGGGACATGGAACTCAACAGTCGCAAGGACATGATACTTATCACTGCCTTTTTCTTGGTGGCTTCTCGTAGAACATCAAATTTTAGGGTTATCTGTAATTGAGTTTAAAGGTTGCATCCACGGAGCATGTCCTGGAATTTGGATTCAGAATTTAAAGATAAAAGCATCATCTGAATTTCAAATCCACTAATTGAGATACTTATTTCATTTGATTCTGTAAATAATTCCATTGACTGTTATATTTCTTTTGAACTACTGAACTTTAGGCTACTTTTGGCGCGTCATAAAAGAACATAATAATATTATATAATGAAAGCATTACTATTATACTAAAAATTCTTTTTTGATTACATAGCTCTCTGAACGCAGCATTCGTAACTATTGGATTAAAGAGGTGCTTCCTAATTTTTTGGTTACCTTCTAAATGCTTGAACCAAATTGAGTTGAACATGATTAGTGATTTTATATATAATATAAAATTTTACAAATCATTTAACATATTTGAAAGAAGTCAGATTGCATTTACAAATATTCGATCTATCAATGCCTGTTATTACGAGAAGAAGACAAGAAATTTACATAATAAACTCAAGACTTTTGGTTGAGGGAGAAGAGACTCTTGTTGTCCCTTCTCACCTCTTGATAGTTATAATATTTTGATTATTTAATTATTCATTTATTAACAAAAAATTATAATTATCATTACCAATTATTACTAAGTGATTATAAATAATTAATAAAATTATTACGAAAATAATCATATATTATTTTCTTTTATATATATATATATATATATGTTTCCTAATGAGAATTTTTTTTCTTAAATTTAGGAATAATTTATCTTATTTTAAGCAAAATAACAAAATATTAAAGCTGGAGAAGAAAAATAGGAATCAAGGTAAATCATTTTTCCAATTTTCAGATTCATAATTTTTTTAATTTCTGATTTTATAAATATTCTTTATTATTTTAAAGTAGAAAAAATAATATGTTATTTTGGAAAAATATTTGGAATCAGTTGTTCATCAACTCAAATTCTAGTTGGTAAGTTGGAATATTTTATTTGATTTCCACTTATAATAAAGAAGATAAAGTAATTTCAGGAAGTATCATTATTAAATACGAGAAATTTTTTTTCCTTTTTAAATCAATTAAATATTAAAATTTCTGATAATTTTTCAATACTTTTAATAATTTTATTTTAGCTACGTGCAAAATAATAATTTATTATATTTTATTTAAAAATGTAAAAAATAATAATGAAATTGAAATCAATTTTAATTAAATTTCATAATTTCTCCACTTTTGATTTATTACAATATTTAAAGTGATGAGTTACTTTAGAATTAGAGCCACCGTTTTAATAAATTTTATACATTTCTTCTGCCTCATTTCTTCAAACAACAAACGGGTTAATTATAAATTTAATTTCTGAATTCTCAAAATTTTATATTTTAGTGACTGATCAGAAAATTTTTACAATCATGTGTTTAAATCAGTAAAAAAATTTTAATCGGGTGTTTATTGCCACGTGTCCGGCTGAATTTGCCATTAGGATGACTAAGTCCCATAAAACAATTGTATCTTTGCTGACTAGGCTCCAAATAAGTGAGCCATCAAAGCCTCATGTGCTAAGCACATGCCATGGGCACTTCAAATGGCTGTCCATCTTGTTCATCAGCTTCATTCAACAAATTAATGGAAAAGAATACAATCAAAGCCCAGATCGAATAAAACACAAAGATCGAAAAAAGCAACCAAATAAACAATTACAATAAGAAAATTGGGGAAAAAAGAAAATTTAACTCATCTCGCAATCTATAACTCATTAACAACTCTATAATTTTGTTGGTTTAGAAGAGCAGAAAAATAAAAAAGAGAAGGAAAATTCTGTAAAGAAGGAAAATTTGCAGATTTTATAAGCATGAAGAAACAAATATTCACATCTCATTAATTCCATTACAGCATAATGTAAATATTTATACTAAACTTATTCTAAAGTTTGTTCACCAACCTTCCATAAGTTCACCTACTTCTTACTTCAACAAAGACATACAGAAATCTAAATGACTTTAGTAACAAAATACCGGTCCCAAAACTGTCAACAACACTTGCATTTCAATTCAAGCTTCAAGAGCATAAGCTGTAACTTTAACATTCCTCCTTGATGCAAGAGTTGAGACAAACACCAAGTCTATTTCTAAGAAATTCAAATCTTGGTTTTTGCAATGTCTTGGTGAAAATGTTTGCTGTTTGGTCTTCAGAACTGCAATGAACAATCTGAATTTCATTTTCTTTTTCAGCCTCACGAATTGCATGGTACTTGATTTTTATATGCTTGATTTTCCCATGGAAGATTGGATTCTTAACCATAGCAACAGCTGATTTGTTGTCACAAAGTATTTTAGTTGGATTTTCTTGCTGAAAATTCAGATCAACTAACACCTCTCTCAACCAAATAGCTTGGTTTACAGAAGCAGATGCTGCAACATACTCTGCTTCTGCAGTTGATTGAGCAACTGAAGCTTGCTTTCTTGTTCCCCAGCAAATGACAGCAGAACCAAGTGAAAAACAAAAACCCAGTATCTCTTCATATCGTCTTCAATGAAACCAGCCCAAATCAACTGTCGAGAACCCCAACAACTCAGCACCATTTAACTCTATTACAAAACAAACCAAATTCAGCAGTCCCTTGCACATATCTCAGAACTCATTTGGCTCTGTAAGATGTTCAGTTGGAAATCATGAACTCGAGTAAATTGGTGCAAACATGATATCTGTCTGTTAGCTATGATAAAAACAAGCAAAGAACAACCAATGCTCCTATAAGTTTAACATCTATAGACGTGAGAATCCATCATCCTTTTGAATTTTATCCATGGTGCGAGGTTATTCACTGGTTTGCATTTCTAATTCAATACTTTTCAGCAACCCCAAGCAAATTTCCTTGGAAATAAAATCCCTTGCATCACTTGAAGCAACTTTCAATCCCAAGGAATAACACATAAGTCCAAGATCATCATCTCAAAAAACTTGCTACAGTTCTTCAATCTGAATTCTTGAAATTAATTTGTAAATTTGTTGCCGTGACAATAACTCGTTCAACACAATTACGCAGAAACGATAACACATCACTTCCTCTGTTGAGTTAACATAAAGTGGTTTGCCTCATTCAAGCGCTTAAAACCCAATTCTTCAAGTAATATTGAATCTTGGCATACCAGGGCCATTGGGGGCCTTGTTTTAAACCAATAGAGTGCTTGTCTCAAATAAACACACCTATTTGCTTTCACATAAAACCTTCAGTGCCACCAATATTAAGCACTTCTCTTTCAAAGAACCATTTAAAAGAAAGCTGATTCCACATCCAATTAAAGACCTTGCAACCTTCACTTCTGCTAGGCCAAAAATCAATTTGATAGTCGTAAATCTGCAACTGGTGCGAATGTTCGTAAAATCAACCCCCCTGCTATTCGAGGCAAGCCTTTAAACAACATATCTTGCTTTGTCTATTGTGGGCCATCAGAATTTAATTTCAATTTGAAACCTATTTTAGTCGCAATTCATGCTTATTTCAATGGTCTACGAACTAAAATCCAATGCTCGCGCAAATCATCTTCAAACTCCTCCTCCATGGTACCCGCTCTCCACTCAGCAATTTTAAGGCTTCATCACCTCATCCACCTGAGTGGGTTCAAGTGAAACAACATTACATCTGGCTTAAATTTCCTCTATGGTGATCTGTTTCATGCTAATTTGCATAATCATCTCATCGATCTTCTTCATTGTCAACTGAAGCTTGCTCTTGCTGAAAAATCAGAAACTGATTTAGAATCTGGCCCATTTTACTCCAATCTCAATTCACTCTTTCTTATCGAATCTGACACTTCTGCGGACATATCACCTGTTTAGTAAACAGGATTCAAAATTCTGTAGGCTTTGATTCAACTGCTAGCTACTAAAAATTCCCTTCTTCAGCTCGGTGATCCAGATTTTTCCTCTTTTGCACTTTGGAAAAATATAATAATCAATAAGCTCCAAAGATTTTGAGGTGAACCTAGCCGATGGTGTAACTCCAACCAAGTCTTTCGAAAGGAGTTTTCCTTCAATAGCTTAGTTGAAGCCGATTTTGAAGATAATATGCAGCAGTTGTTACAGCTTCAGCCCAAATAAACTTGTTTAGGTAGATTTCTCAAATAAGAAAACATCGCCATTATTACAATTTCACAGATCGAATTCTTATCTTTCACTGACACACCCAATTTTGTTGAGGTGTAAAGCAGCTGTTAATGTGATGGTGAATGCCCGATTCCTTGCAAATATGTGCTTGAATTGAATTGATGTAATCAGCCCTTATATTAGATTAAAATCTTGATTGGGGAGTCCAACTTTGATCTCTACCATTGTTTAAACTCAAGAACACTTGAAACTTCGATTGAATTGAGGAAATAATACCATAGAATGGTGAGAGTCATGCAATAAACAAAGAATACTGCTGCCGATTGTAAGTGGACACTCATAGGGCCACACACATACAGTGTGTATTAATTCAAGTTTCATAGAAGCTCTCCATGCTTGATCAGTAGGAAAGTAGTTCTGCTGAGTTTGCCTAACAAAGACATATTTCCATATATGCTGTCTCAACACAGATGCAAAATAGCAACTAAACTTCTTTATTGGCATCGCAATTTAATATGAGATTGGTATGACCAAGTCTCCTTCTTTATGACTCAAGCAAGATTCTTCTTCGAAGTTTCTTAAATTTAAAGGAAAGCTTCTCCGTTTCATTTTGACAGCAATTAACTTTGAGCCAGAAGCATCGCTTATTTCACAAGTTTTATTTTTAAATAGCAAACTGTAATTCTTATCCAGCAATTGACCAACCAAAAACAAGTTTTGATTAAGCTCAGGTACATAAAGAACATCGGAAACATGCTTTGTACATGAACGAGTTTGTACAAATCAGCAACTAACTTCTTGGATTGCAGCAATTTTAATGAATTGAGATTGGTGTAACCAAGTCTCTTATGCCACAAATCAGATTCTTCTTTATGACTCGAGCAAGATTCTTCTTGTATTGCAGCCACTACAACAAGTCATCGCTCTTTA